TTTATTCACAGTTTGTTTTTGAATACAGTCGCTGCTTTAAAATAACAATATTATATTAAGCTAATGAAGTTATAATATTTTTTTACATTCCACCTTTAATGGAATGCCTTTGCATTGACTTTTTACATTCCAACCAAGTAAGGTGTGTAAATGACAGATATCCCCATTGGCCACAATATGCTGTGGATACCAGGTACCCTTGTACTTAACTTTATGCTTACGCACTTCAAAACCCAAAACAAAACTATTTCAATACAAAAGAAATGTTTATAGCCGTGGACAATAAACGGGAATTTAATGCTCTTAATGTGGTCAACAAATAAAAGCCAAAATTGAATAAAGAAAATGGAATAAAAAATAACGTCGAAAACTTAAAAAATTCATTGCTGCACGAATATGCGCAAATGATCTGGGCAAGGTCAATTCGCAATGTTACCATTTCCATGACATGTAAATGTGTTTGTATGTATGTGCGTGTGTTGCACATGTGTGGGAAGGTAATCGGAACACATAATGTTGCATACCGATCTGTTTTCGTTTGTTTGTTTGTTTTGTTGTCTTGCCATGCTCTGACCCTTATCAGTTGTACGATCGGTCATTCGTTAACAATCACAAACCATTAATCTCCCCCACTCTCCTTGATGAAAGAGCGCTATGGTTGTACCGTTTAATATAATTTATTTTTTAAATGTTGCTGTTATTTATTTGGCTGAATAGTTGATTAATGTTTTTTTAAACTTTCTGAAGTTTTGAAGGTGTTTCATTTCTGGCTATTTGTTTGGAACAGTTTTGTTAATATGTACTTCTAAATGAAATGAAATTGATTTCATATTGTGAACACAGTCGAAGCGTTCTACAAGGAGTTTCAGACTGTAGTAAGAATAAACATTGAATTTTTGTTGTGCCTTATATTTGAGTTGAATTAAAATTTTCTTCCTGCACTTGATCGCACACTGATACGGAATTCGTTTCTACTGGCCAAAACAATTTTTATACCCACAATCATGAAAAGTTTTCATTCCATTTGTAACACCTCTAAATATATGTCGGAGACTTCATAAAATGTATAAAAATATGTTCAGCATAAAATGCTAGTCTATAGGGTGAGATAAAAAACTGCAACAAAGTCAAACGCTATTATTATTACATTTATGTACCCTCTACCATTCTATGGAGGGTATATTAACATTGTCATTCCGTTTGTAACTTCTCGAAATATTCCTAATAGGCACTAGGCATACATGCATAGTTTACCAGTAGGCAGGTTAAGTTCGTAAATGGGCTATGTCTTTTCACGTTTTCGTATAGCTCCCACATAACGGTACCTCTCCACATTCGATATTTTCATGATTTTAGCGGCATTATTTACCGGAATTATTTAATTTTCGTATATGAAGTGACAGAAAATTGTCTGAGCAGGTCCACTCCTTCGTATAGCCCCCATATAACGGTATCTCCCGATATTTGGTACTTTGACGATTTTAGCGACAATATTTACCGGAATTGTTTTAAATTTGGGGTTTAAAGTTCGTTATGGGTACTACAGCCTATGACAAAAAATTTTATGTGCAAGTCTTTTTCATATTGCCCCCATGTAATGGTACCTCCCGATAGTCGGTATGTTGACGATTTCACTGTAAGATCCTAATGGGTACTACAACTTAAGACAGAAAATTGTCTGTGTAATTGTCTTCGTATATCCTCCTTATGACGGCACCTCCCGATATTGCGTATTTTCATGATTTTTGCAACATAATTCACCGTAATTGTAACAAATTTCGTGTTTAAAGTTCGTAATGAGCACTACAGCCTATAACAAAAAATTTCGTATACAGGTCCACGTCCTCGTATAGTCCCCATATAACGGTTTACATATAAGTGGTAGTTTTCGGAATTTTTTTTTGAAAAATTTCAATTTCCTTCGATATGGTGCAGGGTATTAAAAGTTCGGCCCGGCCGAACTTACCTTTTTTACTTGTTCTTACATTTATTGAATTAAAGCAATAGATCGTAAATAGCATCACATTCTAGAATAAGTTTAGATTTGTTGAAACTGGTCACCATTGGCTCGAATTATAGTCTTTAAACGGCAAATGAAACCGTCACAAGCTGCCCGAATGTGCTTGATGTGATCGACACACTTTTCAAAATACTCCAGACACAATAGCCCAACGAATCGGTATCCGGAGATTTTAATGGCCATTGTGCGCTGGAAATGAAGCAAGAAACCTCATTTTGTAACCATTCTTGGGTAGCGCGTGCTGAGTGCGATGGTGCTGAGTCCCATAACTTTAATACACCCTCCAAAATATTTTCGCGATAATATTCGGCATTTATTCTGATGCCACGGTCGATTAATACGAGCCCACACCATCACCATGGCCGGCGCTTGCGTTCTGGTGGTCAACCGAAGGTGCACATTTTCAGCTGACCTATTTGACAAATAAAGACGATTATTTTGTTTCTTTACAAACTGCTGGACAATGAATGTTTTTTCATTGGAGAAAACTAAGTTCGCCACTTTCGGCCAAGCGAAGCAACTCTTTAGATATTTTGAGTCTATTTTCTATCTGTTGCAGTGTAATTTCGTGCACTTTTTGAAATTTCAATAGCTTTACCCCGAGTTTATTTTTCAATATTCGAACGTTAATTTTAAAATATGTTCTATGATATGTCTTCTAAAATGGTACCATGTGGTATTATGTGAACCGATAGAGCTATGCAATTGAAATTTGGAAAGTAAGTTTGATATATGAAGGTGGTTTTGGAAATGTGTACTAGGAGTGCGAACTGCACTTAATTGTACTAAATTTAAAAAAAATTGGTTTAGAGTGAACGGATGAAGCTGAAATTTTAAAATTTGGTATTGGGGTCCCTGATGATGGTTGGTTGGTTGGTTTGTAATAAATATGTGATTTTGGAAATGGGCACTACAACTGTGCGTAAGGTTCTAAATAGTACTATATATGGTACAATTTGGTATTGGGTGCAGAAATAGTGCTTGAAATTTGATGTTGTTCACATGTAGCCTTCGAATATTGAGTTATGTATATATGTGTACAATTATTGAACGAAAATTACTGAATGATTAATTTTTAGATTACTTATGAAATCTGTGTTAGAAATTTGGCGGCGTTTGGAAATGATTTGTGCGAAAAGTACTAAACTGTACTAAATTTGGTATTGGGCGAAGAGATAAGGCTGGAATCCTCAAATTTCATATTGGTGTATCTTTTGGTATCTGGAAGTGAGATATGGAGGTGGTTTCGGAAATGTATATATACTAAAAACTAAATTTGGTACTGGGATAGAACTAAAATACTGAAATTGTATATTGCGATAACAGTCAGAAAGATAGAGGTGGTCTTACAGATGAGTACTAAACGTATACAAAATGTACTAAATGTTACTAAAATTGAAATTGAGTGAATGTATACAACTGGATCCCCGAAATTTGATATTGAGGTCTCTGTTAGTATCTGCAATTTTGTGTTGGGGTCCCCGTTGGTGGTAGGTTTGAGAATTAAAGTTGATTTTGGAAAAATGTGTTGAGTGAAAGAATAAATATAAAATTCTGGAAATGTCATTTCAAAATGAATGATTTTGAAGAATTTTTGGTGTAAAAGGTAATTATTTTCCTATTATTCTTTCTGAAAAAGGGAAAACTCGGTTAATATATTAGACCCTAAAAGTCTGAAAATTAGTACAATGTATAAAGTTTTGCTTAAAATATTTTGTAAAACTGAATAAATTGAGCATTTTAAGTACTAACAAGTAAAAAAGCTGTGAGTTCGGCCGGGCCGATCTTTGAATACCCTCCACCATTGGGAACGAATTTGGCAATTTTCAAAAAAATAAAATCTATTAAAATTCCTGTTAAAATCTTAAAAATACCGAATGTAGCCGTTATATTAGGGTCTATACGACGACGTGGACCCGCACATGCAACTTTTGTTATAAGCCATTGGAGTATTTAAATGCGAAACTTTAAAAAAAAAAAACGGTGAATGAAAATGTCAATGACAATTTTCTGTTTTAGGCTGTAGTATCCGTTACGAACATCAAATACCAAATTTGAAACAATTCCAGTGAATAAATTCGCTAAAATCACCAAAATGCCGAAAAAAGTGAGGTACCATTATTTGGGGGCTACACCAAAACGTATATGACCCATTATGACCCATTTTCAATATCAAAAGTCTTGCATACATAATACACATTTGTGCAAAATTTTATCAACCTACTTTATTTCGTTCGGAAGGTTGAGTGTTTTCCATAAACGGACAGACGCTAAATCGACATAGAATTTTATACTGATTAAGAATATATATACTTTGTGGGGACTAAAATGTATATCTCGAGGTGTTACAAACGGAATGACAAACTTAATATACCCTCCATACTATGGTGGAGGGTATAAAAAGGCCTAACACAAAGGTATTCTAGGCTCTACCTGATACCTTGTACCGAATATCACATTTATAAAATAAATCTAATTTTTTGTCAAAAATTCCAATGCTCTCAATACTCTCATATATCTTTCAGCCGTTAAATAAACAACAGCACTATGTAGAGCACATAATATCCTCTAGCACTTATTAGCAATTTGCCAGTTGTTTCGGTAAATTAATTTACAATTCAATATTCAACATTAAAAAACCTCTAGCTTTGTTAATTTAAATTAAATTATGCGGTCGTGATATTTTTCATAAATTAAAGCAGAACATAAACGGACAACTGTCGGTATGCGGAACTCTTTTGCTTTTAATATACATTTTTTTTATATAAACTATATCTTCCTCCAATCTCCGAGTACTGACGGTACAGCAACTCAATTAAAAGTAGTTCAACATGCCTTCAGATACTTTTATATGGTAAATAGTTAAATATGTACGTGCTTCACACTTTAACCGTATGCTGGTTTTGTTTGGGGGCAATATTTTGCCACTCCTAAAAAAGCAAATCAAAAGTAGCCGATTGAAGATAAAAACACTGAACACTTTGCTGCTGGGCCAGCAAACATTTTTTTCGCCTATTGCAATTTTTATTCATTTAACCTAAATTAATAACAAATTAAAATTTTGTTTAAATATCGAAACATCGTTTGAAGTATCCCAGCATTGGGTGATTCAATGTTTTAGTGTCAAGCTCGTATTGAGAGTTTCATCGATGGTCCATATTGATCGTCTTATTGCGGGTAGGGTGGGGTGGTGTGTGCGAATGTAAGGTGTTTCCCGGTTTTTGATTTAATTCCATGGAATAGCAATTCAGTCACCTGAAATAAAAAAGGAAAGTAATTTTAAAATTGCTTTTATAAGGACTGATATTCATTCAAGAAAAAATACAAAGAGAAATAGAGATAATCCAATAGAACCAATATCAGGTTCTGTGTGGCTGTGTGGCTAGACAATTTAGGAAATTCCAAATTTTAAACATTTCGAGGATAGTCGATTTGGTCATAGGTAAAGTTTTTAAATTGTAGATGGAATGCAAGGTTCGGCCTAGCCGTCGTTTATAATTGTTGCAATTTCTTCTGTTTAGCTACAAGCCTACATTATATATCATTTGATACGGCCAAAATTTGCCTCAACGAGATAACTATTTTTATATCCTCCATCATTTATAGTATGGAGGATATATTAAGTTCGTCATTCCGTTTGTAACTCATCGAAATACTAATTTAAGACCAAATAAGTATGTATATTCTTGATCAGCTTAAAATTCTAAGACGATTTAGCCCTGTCTGCCCGTCCGTCTGTTGTAATCACGCTACAGTCACAACGAATAAACATAGGAAGCTAAAATTTTGCACAGATCTGGGTTTTGTCTGCAGGCAGGTCAAGTTCGTAGATGGGCTATATAGGTCCTCGATATCGTATATATCCCATATAATGGCACTTTCGATATTCCATATTTTGATGATTTTAACCACATCTTTCAATGGAATTGTCTAAAAGTCCACACAAGGAGTTCCTTGCGGGTACTTTATCCTCAGGAAGATAATTATCTATACGGTTCCAGTATATCGTCTATCCCCCATGTAACGGTACCTCCTAATATTCGGTATTTTTAAGATTTCAGCCAACTTTTTTTTAAATGGAATTGTCTTAAATTGTCGTTTCGTCATTAATGTGATCGTGATGTGCACGATAACTCTAGAAAGGAGTACCTCATGTTGTGTGGTATGAATGTGGGATAGAACGGACCACTCCTTCTGGTTCTTCCCTCAAAGTTTGAAATAGTCAAAACTCTTGTAATATTCAAAATAATTAACAGTTGTTTCTTTAGACCTAGTGGGAATATGGGACTTATCGGAATTCTCCTTGGCATTTACATCACATTTTGAATAATAATAATTTTAATAACATGCTAAAAAAATAGCAATTTTTCTCAAACTTCGTATATTTCAACATTTCTAACAGCCATGTATTTAATGTAAGTGTAGGATATGCCGTTCACTCCTTCCAAAAAGGTGGAAAAATTAGAATTACAAATAATCCGATTATTTCACATGGAATACGAATTACAAAGCCAGTGCTATTTTTTACCTTTTTGATTTGATTTTTAAAAGTATTAATTATAATTTTGAACTGAATAATTCAAACCAAAAACAAGTTCGGTAGAACTTTTAATACCCTCCAACATTTACAATAAAATCGCAAAATTTCCAAAAAAAAAAGCTTTAAACAAAAAAACGCGTTAAATTTGGCTGTGCCGAAGTTTTAAAACCTTCCACCATGAGGCAAAAAAAAACTTTTATAAATAGCAAATAAAAAAGCAGATAAGTTCGGCCGGTTCGAACTTTTAATACCCTCCACCATTTGGAAGCAACTTGAAAAATTTCAAAAAAAAAAAAAAAATTCCTAAAACTACCACCCAAATTAAAACCGTTATATGAGGACTATACGAAGACGTGGATCTGCATACGAAATTTTTTGCCATAGGCTGTATTATCCATTACGAACTTTAAAAGCGAAAGTTGTAACAATTACGGTGAATAATGTCGCAAAACTCATGAATATACCGATTATCGGAAGGTACCGTCATATGGGGCTATATAAAGGCGTGAACCTGCACTGACAATTTTCTGTCTTAGGCTGTACATTTCATTGCGAACTTCAAACACCAAATTTGAAACAATTCCTATAAATAATGTCGCAAAAATCATCAAAATACCGAGTATCGGAAGGTAGCGTATTATGGGGGCCATACAAAGACGTGGACCTGCATACAAGATGTTTTATCATAGGTTGTAGTACCCAATAAGATCTTCCTATACGAAATTTGAAATAATTCCAATAAATAATGTCGCTCTAATCACGAAAATACCGAATATCGGGAGGTACCGTTATATGGGGGCTATACGAAAATGTGGACCGACATGGCTCATTTACGAACCTACTTACTTGTAAACTATGTTTGCATCCAAAATTTTAGCCTTCTATCTCAATTCGTTCGAAATATAGCGTGATTACAACAGACAGACGGACATCGCTATATCGTCTTAGAATTCTACTTCATTTCGTTTGCACGATAGAGTGATTTCCACAGACGGACGGCCAAATCGACATACAATATTATGCTGTTACAAATTGAATGACATATGCCCCACACACTATGGTGCAGGATATAATAAAAAAATAAATTAATCGAAAGTCGTATAAAATTTAAAGAATTCCAAATACAATTTTCGAATTACATATGATACAGATGTAGATTAAGAATAAAACCTTACAGTAGAGTTGATTCCAACTACAATTTTTTGGTCAGATTTAAATATTTTACGAGGAATTCGTAACTTTAAATGTGTTATTCGAGAACTTCATCCGAAACATCTCAATTGCAGCTCAAGAATTTAAAATTCTACTTGCAAATGGAATAGTTTTATTATATTTGAAGTTAAAATATAATCAAACAAATCAGGTTAACATATTTTGCAACCCTTGCAATTAAGCTACATATTTGAGCCATAAAATTGTTATATTTAGAGGATGAAATGGACTACAAGCTGAGTTCTTTTTTACAGAATTCGCATTTGTTGTACTCATAACAATTATAGACCAATGGGATCGATAATCGTTTAATTTTACATGAGTTTAGTATTTAGGTCAAGGTAGAATCCCACCTTCTTGAATGGTCATCGAATATTATTTATGGTTTGTTTTAAAAAATACCAAAATTTCCACTCAACTCAAATCCCTCGAAATCAAAAATTATATAAAAATAAACGTTCGAACTTTACGGTGATGCTGACTTCGTTGACGTCAGATATCGGAGATACAGGAAAAATATATACAGGAAAGTAAATGTTAAAACATTGTTATGAATTTTCATTTGCATCGCAGAGGGCGCAAATATAGGGCAATTTTCACAAAATTTTGAATGGTCTCATGGCTATGGCCATAGCTGAGTTAACCCTTTTGCATGACTACATATAATTATGTCAAGATGGAAATAAAATAAAAATCTTATGATTGAATTGTTCTCTTTTTGAATATAGTTTTCTATTATTATCACCTTCAGATCTTTGCTAGTTTGCATCTAAAATTGAATGCATGTGCCCTTTTTTGGTAAAGTGGTACCTCCTGATATTTGACTATAAAAACTCCAGATATCACGACAATATACGTATTGATATAATTACGTTCGTACTTGTTCATCTTTTTTTTTTTAATTTTGTTCGGATTTTTTTTATTTTTCTTTCGAGGCGAGCTTAATGATCTACAATTGTTATTATGAACTATAGCATTTAATTTTTTATGACACGTTCAAATAGGTATGGATTTCAGGTAATCTTTATATCTTAGAATTGATTAAAATGTAAAGATTGAAATATTGTCCATTTATCGCAGTTAAAATTTACTTTTTTCACTATTATTTCAATCATGAAGACCACATAATATCTTTCTAAAAGATAAGGATCAAATTTGGTTTGATACCAATCCGATTCATACCTTTTAGCCCGTCAACAGATGCATGTCCTTGTTTATTAATCCAATTTCTGTTGGTACTGCAGCTGTGAATGGTGACATGAATTGATGCTTCCTTAATTTGGGATGCCGATGAGTGATGGTGATGATAATGATGAAGTCGGAGGTAATGATGGTGATGGTGAAGATGTAAATTGGAATTTCAAAACGGTCCAAAAATCCAGTAAAAAGAACGCGATCCGGAACACCGTATCAAACTCTAAACAGTCTCAACACAAAACACTGAATGATGTTTCAAGGTAGGGCAACTTATATTTATAGTACGGCGATGGTATTGAAAACGAAAGCACTCATTACACTGCTACTATTCAGTGAAATTGAGTAAAAAAGTGCATAAAGCAGCGGTATCTTCTTCTTCTTCCCCATCGACATCATCCCCAGTTGCGGAGTAGAACACAACGTTGTTTATGATCACCGGCTGCAGCTTTGGGAAAAGCATCGAGACAAGAATAAATCTTTGCAAGAAAATACGGCAGTGAGTGACCAACGAACGCTGCCTGATAATTGATTGGACAAGTTTTGAGACAGAACAGACAGCATTGACTGCATTTGCTGCAGCAGAGCGAGCTAACCAGCCTCAGAACCACCAAGTAAACACAAAAGTGATCAACAACGGCAGCAGCAAAAAAGGGTTTGTTTTTGTCAATGAGATTGTTAGTTTTTATTGTTTGTCTGGTGTGCTTTTGTTATTGTCCCTGATCCCTTAAGTAAATCTTAAGGTATCATCATCGTCGCCGTGCATCCATAAGGGAGTGCCACGTTTTTGAAGTCTTATTACTTTACGTTTGCATATTCTTCTCTAGAATGCACTCAAAAAGGTCAGCAACTTCATACTACCATCGTTTGATTTAAGTCCGGTCACACCAGACTGATTGAATTATCGCCAAGAATGATGGTGGTGGTGGTAGAAATTAAAATTAAATATTTGTTTTTTTTTCTTCATGAACTATTAAAATTACATTTGTCAACAATTCAAATTGCTATAAATTATATTAATTATTACTCATTGTTTAAGTAGAAATATATGTACCTTCGTATTCAAGATAGAAGAAATTAAATTTAAAATAGCATAAAATTATCAAAATGAAAAAAATTGTTTATAACAATAACAACTTTTTTATTAAGTAAGAAATGTGATAAATTTTGAAAATCAGAATTAGGTACTCATTCGATTTCCATTTAAAACTGTAAACACTACCGCAATAGGTAGTGAACCATATTCAATATTTTCGGGTCCATACCGAAGAGTTTACCTATACTTATTGCCTATAGCAAAGATGTTTCCTATTCTGAGTTTATATAAAACCAGTAAAGAAAGTCTTAAAGTCGGACGGGGCCGACTTTATGATACCCTACACCACTTTGCTAATTTCGTAGAGCTCCACATAACAATTAAAAGTTTTTATGGGAGAATTCAATCATACACGCTATGATTATAATTATAATTTAAAGTTCAAAGGACTAAATATGCCGAAGCATTTGTATCTTTTAAATTCGGAATTGTATTGCCCATTTGGTGCACAATTAATTTGAAATCGAATAAAAATATATATGGTAGCTATATCCAAATCTGAACCGATCTAGATAAAATTTGGCAAAGATATTTCTGAGCTGTATTTGATATATTTCCCTGAATATCGTTGTTACGGAGTGCATATTACGGTTGTGAGTAACAAATTTAACAAATCGGATGAACAGTATATATGGGAGCTATGGCTATATCTGAACCGATCTTCACCAAATTTGACGTACTAGCTTCTGGACTCAATACAGTCGTAAGTCCCAAATTTCATCCAATTTGGGCAAATATTAGACGTTTGGTGCACAATCAAAGGTAAATCGGACGAAGTTATATATGGGAGCTATATCCAAATCTGAACTGATCTCGATAAAATTAAGCAAAGGTATTTCTGAGCTGTATTTGATATATTTCCCCAAATATTGTTGTTACAGAGTGCATATTACGGCTGCGGAGGAAAAAAAATAACAAATCACCTCGTGGTGTAGGGTATAAAAAATGCAATTGTCAATAACATGGACATAGCACAGTCCGAATCATGCTAAAGTGCTCCAAACGCCTCTTTGCACACCTTCCAAAATAATATGGAGGGTATGTTAAGTTTGTCATTGAGTTCGTAACACCTCAAAAAACAATTGTAGACCCCACAAAGTACATACATATACAGGGTGAGGTGGAAAAACTGCAACCAACTTCAGACTGCTGACATTTCTAAGTCACTCGTCCGACAGCTGTTCGAATTATTCCAGTGACAGCTCATTATATTGTTTACAAGCGTACAAAAGCATTTTGGTGAGAATTTTCCAGAAAAAAAGTTATTCGTGATGGAATTCAAGCGTGATAGTGTGATTTTTTTATATTTGGCTGGAAACCACAAGTGGCTATCGTTAGAGCACTCCAGCATTTAAATGTAAATAAATCTTTAGTGTCTCGTACCATCGCTCGTTACCGTGATACTGGTAGCGTAGCCCGACATCAAAGAAGTGGACTGAAGAAAACATTAACATCAGCACAGATGGCTCGAAAAGTAAAGAAGCGAATTGATCGAAACCCGCGTCGCAGTTGCCGAAAAATGGCTTATGAGCTGATCATATCGCAATACTCAATTCAGCAAATATTTAAAAATGAGCTCGGGATAAGGAGATTGAAATTCCAAAAAGTACAACAACTTACACCGCAACAGAAAGAAAATAGACTCAAAAGAACTAAAGAGTTGCGCCACCCAAGAATGGTTACGAAATGAGGTTCCTTGCTTCATTTCCAGTGCACAATGGCCACAAAATCTCCGGATACCAACCCGTTCGACTATTGTGTCTGTAGTATTTTGGAACGCAAGGTTGGCACTAAAAAATACCAAAGTGTCGATCACCTCAAGCAAGCGCTTTGCCGGGAATTGGCCAAAATACCGCAGAGCAACATTCGGTCAGCGTGTGACGGCGGTATTGACCATTTGAAGGCCATAATTCGTGCAAAAGGTGACCAATTCGAACAAATCTAAAGTTATTTTAAAATTTGATGCTATTTCCGACATTTTTTGATTTCATTCAATAAAATTTACAAAACAAAAAAATTAATATCAAGGCGTTTGACTTTGTTGCACTCATAAAATACTCATAAATTGGCAGTTCGCGTTCCCTTTATTTAAGAAGAATCCTTGCGTAGAACTCTCAATATAGGCCTAATTTTTTTAGTCTCCTAACTAACTTTATGTCCAGATATTCTGTATTTTGATGATTTATGTCACTCTTTTATATGTTTCAACCTATGACAGAAAATTCATCATGCAGGTCCAGGTCTTCGTATAGGTCCCATATAACAGTACCTCCCTATATTTGACATTTTAATGATTTTAACGACATTATCCACCGGAAATATTTTTTTACAAATGTTCCCATCTTTTTAGTTATATCTAAGAAAATTCTGATAAAAAATCCTGACTTTTTGACGAAATCTATTAGCACATCTATATCCTGGAATGTTAGCATTTTAAAAAACTTCATGTATTTGTGTATATATTTTCAAGGATCTTCTGACCAAAAATTCGGTGTGTTAAGAATATTTTTAAGACTTTCAGGGCGACAATCGTTAATTTTTCCTAACTAAATACACGACTATTTATTTACGATCATTCATTAGGTTTCCTGACCGTAAATTGTGGATTTTTTTTTAAAAATTATTATTTTAAAGTTTTTTCAGGATTTTTGGAGATATTTTCAAGGACCTCTTGACCAAATGTTTGGAGTAAAAAAGCGACTTTATCGAAATGCGCGTCGCAGTGGCCGAAAAATGGCTCGTGAGCTGAACATATCGCAATATTCCTTTCGCAAATATTGAAAAATGAGCTCGGGGCAAAGACATTGAATTCCTAAAAAGTGCAAGAACTTACATCGCAACAGAAAAAAAAAATAGACTCAAAAGAGCTAAAGAGTTGCTTAGCTTGGCCGAAAGTGGTGAACTGCCGAATTTGGTTTCTCCACGCCACCCAAGAATGGTTACAAGTTGAGGTTCCTTGCTTAACTTCCAGCGCACAATGTGTCGATCACCTCAAGCACAATGTGTCGATCACCTCAAGCTTCGCCGGGAATGGGCCAAAATACCGAAGAGCAACATTCGGGCATCATGTGACGGTTTCATTGACCGTTTGAAAACCAAAGGTGACCAATTCGAAAAAATCTAAACTTATTCTAAAATTTGATGCTATTTCCGACATTTTGCCTTCAATCAATAATATTTAAAAAAAGTAAAAACTATGGCGTTTGACTTTGTTCAATTTTTTTTATCTCACCCTGTATATATAGATTAAAATTGTTCCATTTTCAGAAAGAATAATAGGAAAAAGTCCACCTTTTGTATGAAAAAGTCTTCAAAATCCTTAATTCTGAGGAGGGTATTACTAAAACCATTAAACAATGGATCTTCAATGTATTTTTATGTAAACTCTAGAAACAAACAGTGACCTAAATATCAAATTTTAGAATTTTAGCTGTATCCCTTCGCCCATTTTCAAATTTAGTAACATATAGTATCACCTCCATATCTCAATTACCAAAAGAGACCTTAATATCAAATTTGAGGATTTTAGCCGAATTCCTTTACCCAATCCAAAATTTAGTACCATTTAGTACTTTTCGTACAAATATGAAACACATTTCCAAACCACTGTCAAATCTCTAACATAGGTACCATAGGTAAACTAATTACCAAATGTATGATTTTTTTCTCTATTCCTTCTCCGAATACCAAAATTAGTAACATTCAGTACTTTTCGTACAATTGTAGTACATTTGTATCCAAAGCCACTTACACATGACCAAGCTACACTTGAACAGCGACCCTAATACCAAGTTTAAGAATTGAAGCACTATCTGTTCACCCAATAGCAAATTGTACTAAATATGGTACTATTTAGTACTTTTCGTGCACTTGTAGCAAACATTTCCAAAATTACTTCTTAATCACAAACCTAGCTCCAAGATGGATGCCAATACAAAATTTCAAAACTCCATCTTCATCCTTTCACTTTAAACCAAATTGTTCCAAATTTAGTGCAACTTACTACAGTTCGCGGACTTATACCGTGCACATAATACTAAATGTTACCATTTTAGAAATTGTGAAAACCAAAGCTTTGGAAATGAGAATCTGCCCAACCTTGATCTAACCTACTAATTTTATAAAGGTTAGGACAAAACTCTCATAAGACAATTAGTT